ATTGAGGTCTGGGGGTGTGCTTTTTATAGTAAATATTTAAGTAGAATTGATAAGCTCTTTGCCAGGTGTTATAAGCTGGGTTACTGCTTAAAGCAACACAGTATCTTGGATATCTGTTGTAATAGAGATAAGAAATTATGGCAAAGGATCTCTTCGACCAACACTGCGTTGAGCGATCTCTTACCTCCCCAGAGAACACGGCAGTTGAGAACTAGGTCGCATAATTATATTTTGCCTAAGGTCCAGACAAGCCGTTTTAAATCAGTTTTTATTAATAGATGTCTTTTCAATAGTAATTAATACCTTTTCTTTTTCCTTATTCATTTTATTCATGTTATTCATGTTAATTGTAGCACGTCTGTTTGCACAATTCTTAATAAAGACCTTTATTATTATTATTATTATTAAAATACATGGTGGGGAATCAAGCGAGGTTAGCCCCAAACAGGAACATCCAAAGGACTTTTCGATGGCTACCTACAAGAATATATGTGGCGTCAGCACTACAGAAACGATCCCTTTGGAAGCATTATCAAACATATCGCCCAGCTTTATGAAGTCCAGAAAGACTAGATACAAAGGTTTGTTTGCATCGCTGTATGCACCGGCCTTCACGAACAATTTTCATCACTAGGACACGAAAGGATAATGGAAGAATCAACCAAAACCACAAGAACAGGTGAGACAACATTTATTTCAACTTTGCATTGACAAACCTCAAAGCCTGACCGTAGACTTCACTTTATTTTCCGGCCAATTTTACGCTTTCAAAGCGAAACTGAACATTAAATTATATTTCAAAAATAAAAACCTCTGGAAAATGCCTTAAATTTATCGTTTTGCAAAGCCAAAACGCACCGAATTTACCCTGTTTCAAAAAAGACTTAGAAAAAAAAACCAAATTTTGAAAACAAAGACTACTAGTCTCTGCGGAGTTCTATTGTTATCGCTATTGCTTTCATTGAACAAAGACTGAATGCATAATTAATGTAGGGGGGTTATATGGTACTCTTGCCAAAAAAATAGATTGAATATCAGTACATCAGTCTACCAACTTCTCTTATGTTCAATATTCGATGCAAAGTGAGTTTTGTTCTTTCCTTGCTTTGAGCTGATCCCTGCTCAGTCCAATTGGTATTACATGATTTAATTGTCCGAACAGGGATCAAATTAATTTTACTCCTCAATGCGTTGCCCTGGCAGGCACACCTGGATTTTCACACATAGTGGTCGTTGTTAGGCGATGATAGAAAGGACTTAAAGGGTGTAAAATTTTGAGGTGACTGTGGTGCTACGTCGGTGGGGTGTATAACTAGAAAAAGTGGCTTTGCCAACTAAGTTGATTATATAAAATGGGCCACCGTAAAGAGTTTCTAAAACTGATATAAAGGTGAGCGTTTATTTTGTACCGGTTAATGCGTTAAAGAGCACGTATCGCTAAGCAAATCAAAATAACCAAATACTTTATAGGCTCGTTTCAAAAGGAACTAAAGAGTTCCGATTGGTTCGGTTTTGCATCTGAGATACGGTGGTGTGACCTTTCGAATACAATCACAATACTAGTGAAATGAAACAAATAAATGCATTTACTTTAAAGAAACTCATTCTACAAACTTATTCTACAATCACCCGGTGAAAAACCTAAACGACTGGGCAAGATTTCCACACAGCCCCATGCTTATATTATGCAAGCAGTTCTTGGATAACGTAAATAATAGATTGCCTTTGGGACTACGACTTCGTTCTAGAATACTATGGGGTTAGATAGGAATCTTTCAAAAGACAAGAGCTCCATGTTTTAAATTATAACATAACCAAAGTAAAGCGCGCGCTCTGATTGGTCAATTTAGCGTCCCCCAATTGCCCATGGGTGTACGCTGCTGACGTGAGCAAATGCAAAGACTATTTTTCCGCGCGCGCTTGTTTTTCTCTGGTTACGTAAGATTTGTTAAATAAAAGGGAAGTCTTTGGCTACAATGTGTTAATATTATGTTATAAAACAAATGGTAAACACCACACCGTACACTATTGAGTTATGGATGCACTTGGGAGGTTTGCTAAGCACTCAAGAAGCTAGAGTCGCTCTCGGCTATCGCCTCGAGCGACTCTTACGCTTCTTTCGTGCTTAGCAACCTCCCGCGTGCATCCATAACTCAATAGTGTACGCTGTGGTGTTTACCATTTGTTAATTGTAAACAATTTTTTGTCGATCTTTATTTATGACCATACTAAGTTAAGAAATGTACATCATCTGCTAGTCCGTTATTAGAAACTTCTATCATATCAAACTCTCTGGGTGTTACCTGCGACAACTCTGTGTTCGATTCTACCAGTGTGTTCAATGGACCTGTCTTTGCTGACATGTCGTCTACAG